ATATTCTTTTTCAAAAGCTGTGTGTGGATTATGACTAAATTGCTGTTATTGCATTAATGGTTTCATGGGTTCCTTCAGATCTGTCTTCCCATCATCTATGCTTAATTTTTCTGATCTGAGTATATATAGCTATATATGATGTTCACCAATTATAGTTAAATTACCCCCATTCCATTAGACTTAAATGTATTACCATATCATGTCAAAAAGAGCTTGCATCTATTATAATTGCATTTCCAACTCCTGCCAATCACTGTGATCATAAATCCATTTTTAAAAACAATATAAACTATTATATTACACAGAAAGTCTGTATTTACAGAAAGTCTGGCTCAGGCTTTAACAAGTAAATCTCATGAATGGTGTCTAGCTAATTAAAAAAATTAGAAAAGTTCTCTTTTGCTCTGGTGGTAAGTCTGAGGTGTTTGAAATGATTATATCATCCAGTGAAACTAACTTTTGTGGGTTATTGGAGTATGGCAAAACTCCATAAATATGTTCAAGAATATATCCTTAAAGAAAAAAAATAGATCACTACTGAATCATATGACTGCCACCTAGACATGTGAATGCATTTGGAGGAGAAAGAAGCTAAAAAACACAGATCCCAAATACAGAACCCAAAGAAAACATCATCCATTCCTTAAGACAAGGGGAAACAAGAATGTTTGCATTGGAATGATAGAAATTAATTCTTTTTTTCTTTTCTTCTCCTTCCTCCCCTTTTCCTCCTCCTTTTCCTCCTCCTCTTTTCATCTTCTCCTCTCCGTCTGCAGAGCTGGGGATTGAACTCAGTGCTTTGTGCCTGCTAGGCAAGTGTTTTATCACTGAGCTACAATCCCAGTCTTTGATAGAAGTTTCTGACTTATAAAATTGAAACAGATTTAAAAGTTATTCTTGAGGAATAATTGTATGGTTTAATAAAAATGCTTATAACAGGAAATAAATGCAATTCTTAAGTCAAATATAATTTCCCTCAACAAATGATATCTGGATTACTTCTTTATTAGACTATTTAGCTTCCATTTGACTAGTATGCATTGCTTGAGAACATAGATGTAAGTCTTTCATATCAATACCCTATTTCAGATGTACAAATACGGATCAACAGAACTGTAAAACAAATATCATCTCAAATAAATCTATTTTCCTGCTGCTTTCTGAACACTTGCAGAATTTATAGGGTTTTGATATGTTGACTATGAGCCACAATTAAGTTTGGCTTCAAGACTTGCTGATGCTGGCTGCTCTAGATAAAGTTTAACAAATCTCACAGAGGTTTTGGGCAGACAATATTTGTTCTTGACACTGATTCTGAGAAGGCATTTTTAGTTTCATTATTTCATCACAACTTTGGATTTATTTATTACATCTTCAAATTAGTTTAGCTATCAAAACTTCCCAAATATATTGTCCTTGCTTTGGTGTGTGAGCTATGACTGTGAATATGATTAGGAAGAGAATATATTGAAATTTAAAATTAAAAACTGACTCTTCAGAGGCATCTTAATGATAAGACTTAGAAGTAATGAAATGGTATTTGTTTTCCTTTTCTCACAGTTACAGATGTGTCTAAAGGAGAAGCTAGAGAGACTGCACTTCTGTCTCCTGGATATGTATTTTAGAATAGAGATAAAAATATAAAGAGAGAAGAACAATACTATTTCATAGATTGAAACTCTGAGGAAAATTATGAATCATCCATTCTTTTGAAAGCCATTTATTGACCATATACTATGTATTTGGATACCTACTATGTAAAGTTATTTTAAGAAATAAACAAGATGTAGTTTTTGCTTTGAGCATCCAAATGATGACACTAAGCAGTTTGCTAATCTTTTAGAAAGACTTGGAAAAGACAAGAGAATTTCTTTAAAATAGTCTACATCCTGCCTGGTGATGAACAAAGATGAGCATATTGAAAGTAGCAATTGAATATCCTTTCTAGTCCTTTTTTCCTGTCTCACATAAACATAGAAATAAGTTGCTAAAATAAAGGATGGAATCACTGAAATTTCTGCTCTAAAGCCAAAACTAAACAAAGAGCTATCTTGGTCCTCAATCATTTTCTTCTTTGTTTCTTGCTTTGGAGTAGACCTTGGTGGCTTATTTGGTCTAAAAGCTACTTAGATATGTCCATCTCTGGGTGCCTGTAGCAGCACAAACCATTCTATATTTACGTGCATGGTTCCCTGCATAAGCCCACAGACAGTAAGCAAAAGAGACCAGGAAAGAGTGTAGCAACAGGAGGGAGAAGGAAGCTGAGGACATATGCATGGTTAGGGTTGGTAGGTCTAGAAGACAATAGGTTTAAGAGAATGATAAACCAACTTACTGTTAAGTCCTTGGTTTTTAAAGCATAACTTCTAACTCTTATGCAAGACACAACAGCCTAGATCATCAGTTCTTTTGGTTACTTGGCACTTCCTCTTTTCTTTCTCTATTTTTTTACTTTTCTTTCTACAATCTGTTTGAATATACCTGTGAACCACAAAGCTGGTATATGCCAACACTAGCCATACTTGCCCCTTTGTTTAAGGTCTGCAAACCAATGAGAAAGAACATTTATATTGTTACTCTTGTGCCATTTATAATCAACATTTTTGTTTAAAGATAGTTATGACCATATTTTGCTATGAGCAGATGCCAAAATTAGATGAGCATAAGAAAATCATGCAAGAAAGACTGAGGCCTTAATCTACAGCATTTTGAATGAGGTGGTTGTCATTAGCAGGTTTTACATTTTTTTGTAAAAAATTATGCAACTTTGTGCTTTGTTCCTTTTCCTAACATGGGTTTATTATTGACAACATCTCTGACATTTACCCTTGATTAAATGGTGTCCTTGCTATCTTCTGCTGGCCTGGTGGGCAGAGAAGATGGCTACTTTTACAGGTTACCAGGACTCTTCTATTAGGTAATGAAGGTGGTACAGATGCTCCATTTAGTGACAATAGGTAAGATTTTGAGAAGAGAGAAAATAATTAGAATAATTAGTGTCCAATCATGTTCCTTATTACCCAACCCATTTAATTTTCTTCTCTTGCCAAAGCATCTCCATATTTAAGGAATTAGCATTTCAGAGAACACTTCAAGAAGTGATGAAGTAAGAGAATCTTAACCTAGTAGCCACTGATCCAACAATGGCTTTTTAGTTTCACCCTTCTTCAGTTTTGTTTCTTAGACCAAGCCTGTTCAGTGTTCTGTCTGTATGATCTTGGTGAAATATTTTTAATCATGAAAGAAGAGAAAACAATGGGGACTTCTAATTATATAAATAAAAGGAAAATAGTTGGCCACAAAGAGCAAGATCATGAGGCAGGGTTGAAGTGTAAGGACAGCCAGTGTCACAGAGTGACCACTAGAGTGGTCTTTGCTTAGTGATACCCACCTGGCATTCACAGAGGAGGCCAGCAAGATGCCTGTCCAATGGCTGCCCAAAGGTACCCCTGGCAATGAGTTGGTCTAGACAAGGCCTGAGCTGTTAAAACACAAAAAAGACAGCTTCTCCCCCAGCTGACTTCTACAAAAGACCCTTAAGAATGCTTACCATTGGCTTATAGTGCAGATCCCTTGGCTATAACTGCAAAAGTAAAAATAAAGTGGTTTCTCAGAGCAGAAATTCCACTCTAGGACATGCGAAAAGACCTGGATTGATGAGTTAAAGAAAAATTGCCTGTGGCGTGTCAGTTTTTGACCTGCTGGCAAACCTTTAATTTCTAATTAAAGCCCAAATTAAACCCAGTGTTTATAGGAAATGTCCCTGAACAAGCTCCTAGATTCATTTACCCAAAAGGGGACTCATGTAGAAATCCCCAGAAAACATCTGCCCACTTTTCGCCAGTTCTTCCTTAAGAGTTTTAGGGAAAGGCTATCCTGCCTTCAATGCATAAGGAGCAACCTGCTTGTGGTGCTACGTTCCCTCTTCATGAGTTGCATAAGAGAAATCAGAATCTCCCCAATAGGATGAGTGTACAGGTATATAGGATGGTGGAATACTGGAAGAGGGAGGATTCAATGATGACCAAAGTTCCTGTTCTGAAAAGCAGGGAACAGGAACACTGGAAAAGGAGCATTTTGTGACTAGAGATGATAGGCTTGCTTGGGGGAAAAGTTGAATTCAAGCTGTCAGAGAGAGTCAGAGAGAGTAGAAAATGAGACCTGAGGGTGAATATGGTGTTTGTATTTTATATAAGTGCATGAAAATAGAACAATGAAACTTGTTTAAATTGTTCCAAGAAGGGGAGAAGGTGGGATGAGGGAGAATGATGGAAGAAGTGAATCTAATTAAGATATATAGATTCATCATAAGCACACATGTAAAATGTCACAATGCATCCCCCCCTGCACAACTATTATATGCAAATAGAAAATGTAAGTTAAAAAAAGATTGAAGAGGAAAAAATAGAGGTTGTGAGCATCAAGAATAAAGTTGAGACAGGGGAGTCTCAACTGTGAGGGGAGTCACACTATCAGTGTGACAAATGACAGGGTGAGAAGAAAGACCAAGATGGTTTCATGGTTGCAGCCATGCATGACTACTAACAAGTCCACTGTCTGTTGTGAAATGATCATTCCTGGTCTGCTCATTTTCCCATTCATAATATGGAGCATGGAAACCTCCTCAGAGCATGTGGATACTCCAGGAGAAAGCTTCCATAAAACAACTCATTAAATCCTCGATGTCTTCCCATCTGTCACAGGCCAGAACATGTTCCCATGCAAACCAAAGTCCTCACACAATAACTCAGGGGAAGACAACCAGTGAATGGGTATCCTTGTTTCCTGCGCCATCCTTACAAAGGGGCCTAGAATTGTTTATTATGCATAGTAAAGAAGATCATGGAGTCCCTAGTGCTACTCTGCAAAGGGTTTGTTTGGTCTATCACAACACATTAGATGCCTTTACTTCAAAATCTTTTGCCTGCCCCCTTTGCACCCACTGAGTGAACTCAGTAGTAGCAGTGAGACTGGGAGGCAGGTTTTTAGGGAGGACTCACCCTGGGGTCTCTCTCCAGCTGCTGCTTGTGGTGTAGGCTTCGTCTCCTTTTGGCCTTTGCAAGGCCATTGTGATAAAAGTGGTACAGGCCTTCTGTGAAGGGGAGCTGAAACAGACACAGGATGGTTAGCTGATGTAAAAGCAACTAAAACATAGAAAAAAAATTGTCAAATAAACTTTCCCAGAATTTTGGAAATTAACAAAAGTCTTGCAGTATTCTAAGCAGCATTTCTTTAAGAAAAACAGTACAATATCAATACTAACAGCAAGACTTGTGGCATGGTTAACTTGCCCTTTTTCCATCCATTTCTCTCCAGCTCTATAGCATCTTTGTGGGTATGAAAAAAATTTTTTTTGTCATTATACTTTTGTACTGAGGGTACATTGTGACATTTACAAAAAGTTCTTACAATATATTATAGTTGAATTCACCCCCTCCATCATTCTCTTTTATCTCCTTTGCCCCCATCCCAGGAATAGTTTCAATAAGTCTCATTTTTCCATTTGCATACATGTATACATAATATTTCTACCACACTCATGCTCCTACACCCTTTTCTTATATCTTTTCTCCTTCCACTGGTACCATTCCCCAGACAGGACCTGTTTTATCTTCCTGTTTTCCATTTTCAAAAAAAGACATTTTTGTTTGTTTAAGATACAGATAAGCTACACAGGGCGTTTCCTTGTTTCATTTCCAAGTATATATGTATTATAACCTGAGTTGGTTCATCCCTCTATTTTTTTTCTTTCTACTTTAGTCACTTTCTTATGTGATTTCAACAGGTTTAAAAATTCTATATTCATTCTTGTATAGACAGTATTCAACCATATTCACCTTCTGAACTTCCTTCTTTTACCGTCCCTCCTCTGTTAGTCCAATAGCTTCTCAATCACCATAACAGTGAAACCAGTAACCCAACAGATATTGGAGGATGGATTCTGGCTTGATTCAGACAACTGTCTGAATGATACCTGGAAAAGTCCCATTCATAGGGTTTATTGTTATTTGATCTGATCCAGAGTTTGTTCAATGTGAAGAGTTTGTCTCTAGGGTGTTTGTTGAAAACAGTCCATGGCTATTAGTTAAAACTGCAGTTTCCTGAGGCAGCAATATCAACTGAAGCAAATGAGAAGTTGGGAAGATAATCTTAGAAGAAAGATAAAGAGAATGAGATGTCCTTAGAAGGTTTTACAATGTTCTAATATATTTACACAGACTTGAAAGGCTAAACACATGTGGAGAGCTGGACACATAAAGGGAAATACATAAGAAGATCCTAAATTCACAGCTGTATGAATAGGAAATGAAGACTAAGGCAGAGTTGCAACTGGCCTCCTGAGCTTTGGGGGCATGCCCCAAGACAACGAGCATACCAGAAAAGAATGAAGAAACCTTATTGATTCAAGGTCTTTAAGGAAATCCATTTCTGATGTTTAGATGACCCATAAGCCAATAAACTAGAGAGTTATTGGAACACTAAACTAAACTAAAAGTTACAGACCTTATAGCATACAGTTCAGGAAAGATATAACAGACAAATAAACAAACATATAGAGACAAAAGAATAGCAACAGCAGCAATGATGAAATCCATAAACAATATCAACAAAAATGAGAGTGTGTGTGCATCTTATCCATTCATTCATTGCCACATTATATTATTTTAAGCAGCCAGGTTTCAGAAAAAAATGTGTGACATATAAAAAAATAAGAATGTTTGCTCCAGACACAGGTGAAAAAAAAATCAATCAATAAAAGTCCTCTGAGGAATCCTAAGTAATAGAATTACTAGGAAAATACTAAACGAGTTGTTAAAAATGGAGCTAAATAATGCATGTTTAAAGAATTTAAGCAAAATAGGAGAATGATGAATTATCAAATAGAGAATATAAATGATAGAAATTATATAAAAAATAAACAAAAGAAATTTTAAAGTTGAAAATAAATGAGATGAAAACATTCTTAGAGGGCATCAGTAGCAGACAATCAGCAGAAAAGTCAATGTGAATATAAGTAAATTGAGATTAGCCAGTTTGGGCAACAGAAAAGAAATAAAGTAAAATGAGCAGAAAAAGCTTCAGAGACTAGTGAGATAAAGATATGTTCAGTAAGATTAACAACTGACTTCCTATTGGAAGCCATGGATGTCGTAAGACAATGAGGTGACATATTTCAAATTCCAGAAGAGACTGTCAACAAATAATCCTATATTAGTCAAAGTTAGCATTCAAAAATAAACAGCAACAAAAAAATCCGTGCATTCCCAGAAAAACAAAAACTGACAAAATTCATTATTAGGAGATCTTTTCTCTAGGAAGTACTAGCTTTAGGCTAAAATGAAACACACACTAGGCACTACTGAAAATCCACTTGAAGAATAAATAACACCAGTAAAGGTAAGTAGTACAGGTAAGTATGAAAGATAGTGTAAATGTGGTTTCGTTTATAATAATCTTTTCCCTTCTGTTTTATTTAAAAGAAAATTATATAAATAAAATTGCATTTATAGACTTATAGTGTATACAGATCATACAAATTGTATGACAATAAATGTACAAAAAGCAGAGAGGGAACATAGTTATAGTGGAACCATGTTTTTCATGTACTACTGAAATTAAGTTGGTATTAACCTGAACTAGATTATTTAAGATATTAATTGTAATTCCAATTCCAGAAAAACCACTAAGAAAATAAACAAAATATGGTAAAATAAATAAGGTAGCAAAGATAGTACAACAGAAAATATTTAACACAGCTAGGGTTAAGTGGCATGTCCCTGAGGTCCCAGTTACTTGGAAAGCTGAGGCATGCCAGGAGTTCAAGGTCAGCCTGGGTAACATAGTGAGACCTTGTCTCAAAAAGAAAAAAGAAGAAGAAAATATTTAACAGAAAAATATAGTTATGAAGGAATAGAGGAACAAAACTTACATAAAACATTGCTGTGATTTGGAGGTAAGGGTCCGTGTGTGTTAAGGGCCCTGTCCCCAGTGTGACACATCTGGGAGGTGACAGAACATTTAGGAAGCGGGGACTTGTGGAAGTAGTTAGACCACTAGGTGTGACTCCAAAGAAGATTGTGAAACCTTGGCCCGTTCTTTCTGCGCACTTCCTGGTTTGAGATGTGACCACATGTTCTGACATGTGCCCTCACCATTGCCATCCACCACCTTCATAGGAAACCCAAACCAATGGAGCGTCTCAACCTTCAGAACTGTAAATCATAATAAACTGGCCTATATTTTATAAACAGTCTGAGTCAGGTATTTCATTATAGTGACACAAAGCTGACTTTACAAACTTATAGAAAACAAGTAGCAAAATGACAGGTGTAAATCTTACCTCATCACTATTACTCTAAGTGTAAATGGATTGAAAACTCCAATGAAAGGACAGAGATTGACAGAAAACAAACAAGCAAACAGTGATTCAACCACATATTGTTTGCAAGAGAAGCATTTTAGATTTAAATATACAAACTGGTTGAAAATAAAAGGTTGACTGGGCATAGTGGTATATGCCTATACTCCCACCATTATATAATTCACAACAAACAACAAGGCACCCCCAAATAAAGGAAAAACTGATAGAATTGAAGGGAGAAATAGATAATTCATCAATAATGGCTAGAGACTTTAAAAACCAGCTTTCAATCATGAACATAACTAGTAGGAAGAAAATCAAGTAGTTACATTGAATACTTGAACTGTAAACCAACTAAACAAAACATCTGTCTACAAAATATTTCACCTAATAGCATCAGAATACATATTCTCTCAGAGATACATGAAATACTCTTTTGAATAGACCAACTTAAATAAATTTAAAAGGAGTAAAGTAACAAAAAGTATGCTCTCTTATCACACTAATTACATTAAAATTAAATAATCAAAGAAAATGGAAAAATCCAGAAATATGTGAAATTCAAATACTACAAAGGTCAAAGAAAAAAAATCCCAAGGAATATTAGAAAATACTTTGAGATGGCTAAAACAAAAACACAGAATACATAGACATATGAGATACAGCTAACACAGTTCTTAGAGGGACATTTGTAGCAACAAATTGAAAAAGAAGATCTTAAACCAATAACCTAAGTTTGCACTTTATGAAGCTAGAAAAAAGAAGAGTAAGCTAAATTCAAAGCAAGCAGACAGAAGGAAATTAGAACACGATTAGAGTATGAGCATATGTGCACCAATAGGTAGATGGCAATCTTGAAATAGACGAACTCTTAGAAGTAATAGAAAACTTGAACAGACAATAACTAAAGTGATTGAATTAGTAGTTTAAAAAGTCCAGGCCCAGATGACTTCACTAGTAAATTCTACCAAATGTTTAAAGAATTGATACAAATTATTCAGATATTCTTTCAAAAAATGGAAGAGGAAGAAACAACTTACAATGCATTCATGGGACTGACATTTCCTGATTTGACAACCAGATAAAGATATTATAAGAAAATAATAATATAGACACTATCCTTACAAATATAGACTCAAATGTCTTCATAAAAATACTGATTCAGTGAACTGATTTAGTAATACTTCAAAATGATTGTCCACCATGACCAAGTAGGATCTATTCTGGGGACATAAATTAACAAATGTCACCAATGACCATATTACTAAAGGATAAAAATTACATGATCATCTCAACAATACAGAAAATACAGAAAAAAATTTGACAAAACCCAATATTCCTTTATGATAAGACTATTTTAAAATAGGAATGGAAAGGAAATTCCTCAATCTGGTAAATGCATTTTTGAGAAATCCACTACTACCATTATTTTTAATGGCAATAAACTGAATGCTTTGTCCTTCACATCAGAAAAAGACAAAGATCACTGCTCTTGCCACTTCTACTTAACAGTGTCTTGGAGGTTCTAGACAGGTCAGTTAGGCAAGAGAAAGAAATGAAGTCATCAGATTGGAAAAGAAGAAGAAAATATATATTCAAAAACCAAATTTTACATATAGAAATTCTTAAGGTATCTACAAAAAACTATTCACTCAGCAAGGTTACAAGATGCAAGATTGACACACAGAAAATAATTATATTTCTATACACAAGAAATGAACAACCTAAGAACGGAATTAGAAA